TTACTATAATAACATCTCGTGATAAAGCATCTGCAACTACATTTGACTTGCCAGGTAAGTGTTCAAAGGTAGGATTGAACTCTTGGATAGTGAAGGTCCATCTGGCTAACCTTCCAGTAGGATGTTTGTTCTGGAATAAAGGTATCAGTGGAGCATGGTCTATCAAGACATGATCAGAGTACTGATAAATAATGTCTTGGAAGTGCTTTAAAGACCATACTATTGCTAAAGCTTCTTGCTCAGTTACTTTATAATTACGTTCAGCCTTTGTAAGGACTTAGCTAGCAAATGCAACTGCATTGTACTTGTCATCAGGCTTCTGAGCTAGTATGTCACCTATGTTAATTGAACTAGCATCAGTTGTCAGATAGAAGGGCTTAGAAAAATCTGAAAATTTCAAAATTTGAGCAGATGTTAGCTTTTCTTTTAGAGTTTGGAATGCCTTTCTTGAGGGAAAGGGTCCAAACGAAAGGAGCATTCTTTTTTTAAGCAGCTCAGTTAGAGGGGGCGCTATGGTAAAAAAATTGGCAATGAAAATCTTTAAAAAACCTGCTAAGCCCCAAAAAGGGATTTTAGGGCATCACAGTTTTGGGAGAGGGGAAATTTAAAAATACTGATTTTTACTTTGGGTTTCATTTCGTAACCCCCAAAGGAGGGGACAAACGTGTTTTTTTCAAGTGCAAAACCACTTTTTCCCGACATGACGTTTATGTCACTAAGTAAAACTAAAAATGCATTACCTATGAGGCCTCTAAAGATAATAGCCCAAGACCTCGAAAAAGTAAATGGGAAAAAGATCGAAACCCCAAAAAGGCCTTTAGGAGAAGTGATAATGACCTTTTGGGAGGGAAAATGGGGGTTTAGCTTTTGGGCTGTCCTCATGAAGAGCAATTTGCCAAAACCCTTGTAAAAGCCCGGGGTCAAAAGTTTTTGGGTTTCCCCTGAGTTACGTAAAAGATCACCAAGTACGGGAAGGGGGAAGCGATCTGGAATATTTTTACGCATTTAACTTCCAAAATTTCAATAAACTGGGTGCCAAAAAACATCCTTCTTAGGGCCTAGAATCAGGCGCATTCCCGGGTGAATTGCTTTTTGGGGGGGGGGGGGGGGGGGGGCAATAAGTCATCAATTCTTCTGCGACAGCAGCTTGTGAATTAGGCATTCTGTACGCAGGTATATAGATAGTTCTGGTGCCAGGTTCAAGTGGGATAATGGGACAATAAGTTTATTATACCCATCTTCTTACCTGGTAAGGCAATGGCTTAATGACGTTTGTTCAACAGAGTCAACAAACACTTGACCTTGTCTGGAAAGTCAGTGGAATCTAAGTCTTTCTCCTCAACTGGTGGAATGGATTGATCCAGTGAAGTGGATGGGGTCTCCCCGGTAGAAATAGCATTGACTCACTGGTCAAGTGACTGACTCACAGTGGTGCCTAGAGGGTGAGCCTCATTCAAATCATGCTAGGTCAGCTGTAACAGTGAATAACAGTCAGTGATTCATGCAGGCAGTTGGTATGAGTCATTACTACTGACACTAGTAACTGGTTACTGGTAACTAGTACTACTAAGAGCCAGGCAGGATGCCATACCTCCCACACTACTTTCTACAAATAAATACTTTTCACCTCTCACCCTACATTAAGACCATTCAGACTACAAATATTTTAAGGTAAGTAATGCATGTACTGTATATGCATTTTATCACTCTGGGGACCTTTAAGCTTCGTAGTAGAGTATGTGTGGATGGGGTTGCCAGGAGGGCTACCACACCTGACTTCTTAACCCATTGACCCTTTTGGTTGTATATATAGTCTTACAAGCCACCGTTTTTGACGTATATATACTTGTAAATTTTAGTGGCTTTAAATCAAGCAGGAGAAAGCTGGTAGGCCCACATGTGAGAGAATGGGTCTGTGTGGTCAATGTGCACCATATAAAAAAAATCCTGCAGCACGCAGTGCATAATGACAAAAAAAAACTTTTTTTAATTAAAATGCCGACTTTGTGGTCTATTTTTGTATGGTATTTATGGTTGTATTTTTGTTTTCTTGGTCTCATTTGATAGAATGGAAAACATATAGAAATAGAGGTGATTTTGATTGGTTTTACTATGAAAAGAACCTTGAAATGGAGCTCAAAGTAGGGGAAATGTTTGATTTTTGCCGATGTTCAAAAGTAAACAAATGATGTCATTTTCCAATGAATGTCCAAGTAGCCATTCTGATATGCAGTCAGGAATGGGTTGACATTATGTATACAATTATTACAATATTGCAGTAGTCTGCATAACAGTAAATCTTCTATTTTTTGTTTGAATAAAAATTCAAAATAGAAAGCAAGAGTAATACCAGAGGGGCCTGGAGATGTGACTGATGAGCAAAGAAAATTTTATTTTAGAGCCAGGAATGTCTGCATTGTTCATTCTGGACCCTATTTTGAAATTGGAATATTTTTAAATTTTCGTGAAATTGGCCAAATTGCAAATTTCTGACCACGTTATTGGGTAGTTGAAATCAGTAAATGGGCAGTTTCTTGTACTCAGTCGATAGAAAAAATGGAATTCTAAAGAAATAGCTATGAGTTTGGCCGAATGGAACAATGGAATTAGCCGAAAATAGGGCTCAACCTGGGTGAAATTGTCGATTCGTAAATATCGCCGAGGTCACTAACTTCGCGAGAGTGTAATTCCATCAGTTTTCCATCAAATTTCGTTCTTTTGGTGTCATTACAATCGGGAAAAGATTCTCTGTCATTTCGTAAGAATTTTTTTTTTTTTTTTTTTTTTTTTAAATTTTGTGACACCAGGAGACACCTCAGGATTTGGGGTTGCAACAGTCAAGGGGTTAAGAGTAAATACTACTCACCTTTAGCCCTTCATTAAGACTACAGATATTTTGAGGTAAATAATGAGTGTACTGTGTGTGTATTTTACTTTTTAATGCCTAGTTCTGTTGTTAACTTAATATATATTAATGTAAACTTGTTATCTGGCATTTATATGCATATATAAATGGAAAAAATGGAGTTCTGCTTTCCAGCGAAGTCTGCTTTCTGGCAGTAGCCTGGAACCTAACCTGCTGTATAAGTGGGGCCCTACTGTACATCGAATTTTTGTAGTGATTTAGCCAGACACAAGGAATGTCAGATATTTTTGTCTGGTATTGTGTTTGTGGGTCATGTTGCAACTACATATCAGGGAAGTGTTATAGATCAGGGTTAATATTAGAATTTATGGTTCTGTAAATGTAGGTTGCACAGTAGTAGGTGTGAATGTTCTGTACAGTGAGTAAGTTTAGGACTTAGAAGAGTGGAGGGGGGTGTTGTCTAGCATTGGGTTGTGTGATAATTCTTACTGCAGCTTTTTGTTGGGTTATTATTGGCTTTATGTGGGTTGCTACTGTTGATCCCCAGGCACAAATAGCATAGGTGAGGTAGGGATAGATGAGTGAATTGTATAGTGTGAGTAGGGTTGATTGTGGTACATAGTAACATATCTTGGAGAGGATCCCAACTGTTTTGGATACTTTTCTTTTTGTTATGTGTTGGATATGGGGGTTGAATTTCAGGTTACTGTCAAGGTGCAGGTCCCGGAATTTGCCCTCATTATGTTTAGCAATAAGTGTGTTGTCAATCATAATGTTCAGCTGGGCAACACCTGCTCTGTTACCAAACATAATATAGAAGGTTTTGTCAGTATTAAGTGTAAGTTTATTAGCAGTCATCCAGGTTGATATTTTTACTAGCTCTTTATTAACAATGTTGTTGAGTGAGAGAAGATTAGGGTGGGAGATGACATAAGCCGTGTCGTCAGCAAAGAGATTAGGTTTAAGGTGTTATGATACATTAGGAAGATCATTGATGTATAAGATGAGGAGCAGGGGACCAAGGACACTTCCCTGTGGCACTTCAGTATCCATCAGTCTTGTTGATGAGGTTGTGTCCTTAATAGAGACGTATTGATGCCTGTTAGTAAGATAGGATTTGAAATATGTAAGTGCGTGGCTTCTTATACCATAATGATCAAGTTTGTGGAGTAGGATGCTGTGGTCTACTGTATCAAAAGCTTTTCTTAGGTCAATAAAGAGTCCCAGTGGATATTCATTTTTTTCCAGTGCTGTGTAAAGCAGGTCTAGCATTTTTACAATTGTGTTGTTTGTGCTTTTGTGTTTCCTGAAGCTAAATTGGCAGGGACTGAGGATGCTTTGCGCTGTTGTAAATGAATATAATCTCTTGTGCATGAGTTTCTAAAATTTTGGATAGCAACTGTAAGTTTGATATTGGCCTGTAGTTGTTTACATCTGTGGGATCACCACCTTTGTGTATTGGTGTAATCCTTGCTATCTTGAGTAGTGTCAGGAAAGTGCTAATTTCTAGTGATTTGTTAAAGAGTAATGAAATAGCAGACGAAAGAACATGAGCTGCTCGTTTGTACAATAATGGTGGGACTTGAGCCAGATTTCCTGATTTGCTTTTAAATGATTTAATAATTGTGGTGACTTCAGTGGGCTCGGTTGGTGCAAGATTGAAAGAGGTTGGGAAATTCCTGTCTTAAGTAATCACTTGCTTGGGCATTGGCACCTGGGATTTTACTGGTGAGATTTGATCCTATGGATGAGAAAAGTAATTTATCTTGTTAACTATCAGTAGGCTATAGTTGTTCATAACTCAGATGTTCATAACGAGGAGCCCCTGTAAGTCTTTCTCTGCTGGAAAGAGGTTGTATGAATGCACATTATATTGTGATAACATTTGCAAAGTGTATATTTATGTATATATAGAGTATATTCGAAGAGTTTGATGCTACATCCTTGAATAATAATTTGTTGAAATTTTACCCCTTGTCTTAATTTACTGAAAAATGCTTTATATATTCAGTATTATATTATTGTTTTTTAACATGTTACATTGAGTGAGTAGAGGTTTAAAGAAAGTACCATACAGTATTTTCTTTGTTTAGTGATGTCTTCCGATATTGAACAGTCCCATTATATTTTGCAGGTACGGTTTAGTGAGCGCCGAAATTTTCGGGAGCAAGAAGAGAAAATCCGTTTAGTATTTGACAACCTAACCCAGCTGGACCATCCCAACATCGTTAAACTACACAAATACTGGATTGACAGTAAAAACGACAAACCTAGGGTGTGTATCATTTTATTTTTTGTTTCTCACTTTCTGTACAGTGAAACTTGTTATACATCTGATTACATTGTACCCAAGCTCCTGTCGGATGCAAATAACATGACTTTCACTACCATGGACTTTTTTGCCATATACAATTTTTTTTATTTATAGGTATTTGTATACTTTTTTGTAAAATGTGGTATAGTCTGGGCTTGATGGCTCAGGAGAAGATGGAAAGCGTGGGGACGATTTAAAGGTTTTTTAAGAAAACTTTTTTTTTTTTTTTTAGTGAGAGAGGAGGAGAGAGAAACCATCTTCTTTAAGTGATGTATACCAATAACCTGTTAACATGTCAGTCAGATTTTGTCTTCATACAATTACTGTATTGAAAATGTCAAAACCCTTCCAACCTGTTTCGTTAATTGATGTTGGGGTTTCCTCATGAGAATCATTATGGACAATCATTTAAGCTTTAACAAGGTCACTGAGAGCATCATCAGTAAAATATTGTGTAGCTTCAACAAGAAACTACACAGATTCTTGGATTGCATAGTTTCTTGAACCCTTCCTATTTTAGGGCATTCTTTTTTTTTTTCTTAAAATTTATAGAAGTAAAATTCCTTAATTGGCTTCTTTAATATTCACTATTTTCAGCTTGTTAGGCAATACAGCCTGCCTTCCTTATCCCTTTCAGGGTTTCGGCCATACTAGTATGGCTTACGCCCCAGGGTTTTTGACGTACTAGTACGCCTGAATTCTAGCGCCCTCAAATCTAGTGAGAGAAAGCTGGTAGGCCTACATATGAAAGAATGGGTCTATGTGGTTAGTGTGTGCAGTATAAAAAAAATCCTGCAGCACAGTGTGTAATGAGAAAAAAAACTTTGTCTGTGTTTTTGGATTAAAACAGCAACTTTGCACTGTATTTTCGTATGGTATTTATTGTTGTATTCTAGTTTTCCTGGTCTCATTTTATAGAATGGAAGACATATTACAAAAATTGAGATGATTTTGACTGGTTTTACAATGAAAAGTACCTTGAAATTGAGCTCAGAGTAGCAGAAATGTTCGATTTTTACCAAAGTTCAAAAGTAAGCAAATCATGCCAAGCATCCAATACAGGTCAACTGGTGAGTGTAATGTTCTTTCACAAGTGCGCTGATATTACTTATACCATTTCTACACTAATGCAGTAGTCTGCATAACAGTAAATCTTCTATTTTTTGTAAGAATAAAAATGGAAAGCCAAAGAAATATAAGAGGGGCCTGGGGATGTGACTAACGAACAGAGAACTTGTTATTTTAGTGCCAGGAATGTCTTTCTTGTTTATTCTGGACCCTATTCGGAAATTGGCATCTTTTGAAATTTGTGTGAAATTGGCAAAATTGCTAAATTATGACCACTTTATTGGATAGTTGAAATCGGTAAATGGGTGGTTTCTTGTACTCATTCGATAGAAAAAATGGAGTTCTAGCGAAATAGTTATGATTTTTGTCAACTAGTACACTGGAATTGTCCGAAAATAGGGCTTAAATTGGGCAAAATCCCCGCTGCATAAACATCGTCGAGACCACTAACTTCGCGAGAGCATAATTCCGTAAATTTTCCATCAAATTTCATACTTTTGGTGTCATTATGATCGGGAAAAGATTCTCTATCTTTTCATGAGAAAAAATAATTTTTTTTTTTTAAATTTGGGGACTCTGAGAACAAGTCTCGGAGAGGGCCTGGGGACCCTGAAAGGGTTAATATGTAGATAAGTAGTTAGGCATCTTTAGTCTGAGAATAAAGATGCAGTGGAACCTCTACTTGCGAGTGCATCCACGTGCAAGTTTTTCCAGATACGAGCAGTCGCTCAGTTGATATTTTGCTTCCAGACGTGAGCGAAATTTCCAGATGCGAGCAGGCCTCAAGGGAGGTTTCTTGATACTGGTGAGGGGCTCTTGCTCTTGAACTAGGGAATTGAATCTCAGTTGTTAGTTGGACTATCTTATTGAAACTTGGGCAATGTATTTTGGAAAGATGCTTTTTAACGCACACCAAAAGTGAAAGAAATCGGACCATAAATAACAGAGTTCACTTCTCAGCTATTAGCCTCCCCTTAGCAGTATATTTTCATAGGGTTTTTATGGTTGTATTCTCGTTTTTTGGTCTCATTTGATAGAATGGAAGATATCCTACAGAAGTAGATATGATTTTGATTAGTTTCATGACGGAAAGTACTTTGAAATTGAGCTCAAAGTGGCAGAAATGTTCGATTCTTTGGCGATGTTCAAGAGTAAACAAATGATGTCACCATCCAATACCTGTCTGATTGGCACTGCCCCTCAACCTTCACATATTGGAAAACTCTTCAACACACTAGCAAAAGTGGGAGCAGACATCATGAGGTAGCAGTGGCAGACATCTTGAAGCAGCAGTGGCAGACCTTGTTTTACCCTATTCTATAAGTGAGTTTCCAAATGCCACCATGAGATGGCAGTTCACTCCACTCGCCGTGGAGGGAATTCTCGTGTTTTCCTTACAATTCGTGCAGTTATTTTGTGAAATTTCTTGTTTCTAACCATGGGTCCTAAGAAAGCAAGTGCAAAGGACAGTGCTGAGAAGAAAAAGAGGATGTTTTCCATGGAATTAAAGCAGGAAATCATAGATAAACAAACTAGGTGGAGGGTTAAGGACTTGGCCAGGCAGTACCAGCATACCACTTTAATGATGTGTACAATACTAAAGCAGAAGGAGTCAGTGACAGTGTGTAGCAATTAAGTGTAGCATTAAGAGTGTAGCAATTATAAGTCACACTGTCTGACATTTTTTGAGTTATCCTAGGTTCTCTACACATGTAGTCAGGAGCAGGAATGGCCACTTTGGTGGCCCTATAAACCCCAACAGCAGCAATGGCTGCTGTCACCACCACTAGCCACATACGTAATGACACGTATTTTATTCATTCTAGTGTATGTATCATGTTTCTATATTGTTAATATTGTTTATTATGTCACAATAGATGAATTGTGATAGATAAATAAGCCGTAGAATTGATATTAGGGAAATTATTGAAGTATTTTGTTGTGCCTGGAATTCCACTGTAACGAATTAATTCCATTTCAATTAATTTAACCCTTAAACTGTCCAAACGTAGATCTACGTCCACATGCGGGGGGCTCAGAACGTAGATCTACTTTTTTTTTTACATGCTTTCAAATGGGGAAAATCAAGGTCAGAGCGCTACGCACGTGAACGTAGATCTACGTTTGGACAGTTTAAGGGTTAAATGAGGAAAATTGACTCTGCAAACGAGCAAATCCAGATGCTAGCAAGATCACGGAATGGATTAAACTCGTAAGTAGAGGTTCCACTGTACCTAACTACTGCACATGTCCTTACCGACTTGTAGGTACATTATAACATTGCTATATTGATCCTAGTATGTACCAGTACTGCTTCTTTAACTCTTAACAAAGCATAGTGTTGCATAATTAAAAGTCATTAACCCTTTGACTGTTTACGCCGTATAAATACGTCTTATGTGCCACTGTTTCTGACGTATTTATACGCATAAATTCTAGCGGCTTCAAATCAAGCGGGAAAGACCTGGTAGGCCTACATGAGAGAGAATGGGTCTCAGTGGTGGGTGTGCACCCTGTGAAAAAAATCTGGGACTCAGCGGTGCATTGTGGGAACGCCATCTTGGTAGTCCATTTTCACCATGCCTCGCGGTAAGAAGTATCTCGCTCCTCGGCGGATTGGAGGTCTTTTGTTCCCAAGTGATAGCTCTACCAGCGATAAAAATGTCAGTGACAGTGAATTCCAGGGTTTTGAAGTGAGTGTGACCGAAAAAAGTGCCCAGGATAACGTAATTAGTGATGAAAACCCAGATGACCCACAACCTTCCACCTCTGGTGCTGGGCCAGCTTGTTCACATTCACGTTCACCTGTACCAGGACGTAAGACGAAACTATTTGGTCGTGTACAAGACCCAGATGTTAGCAGTGAATGTGATAGTGATTTCAAGGTTATTGAAAGCAGTTCTGGTTGTGACAGTGAGGGTGAATATTCCCCAGTGAAGTGGCAGTATGTACGACGTAGCATGCGGTCTGGTAGTGTTTCATATGCTGTTCCAAGGGGAAGGAGAAACTCTGGGAGCATATCCCCTGGCCCTGCACCATGACCTGATAGTGAAGATGACGATATTGTTACGATGGGTATGAATGATGTGAGTGAGGCAGCAGGCAGTGGTGGTGATAGTGATGGTGGCACAACCCATGTGGCACCAGCAGCGGGCCACGCTACTACCCACGCTGCTGACTCTGCACAACAACAACCAGCCTCACCCAACCCCACACTCCCACATCCTACACAACCACAACCTGCACAACCACAACCACGTTACAATATCGAGAACCCACCAGCAGACCGCATCTTGGATTGGCAGGAAGGTGACGAGTTTGTTCCCAGTCCCCATGACTTTGATGAAACACAAAGTGGAATAAAGCCATCATGTCCACTTGGGAACAATGCTAGTGAACTGCAATGCTTTGAGTTATTCTTCGATGAACCCCTGATGGACATCATTGTCAGGGAAACCAACACATACTATGAATACACCATGGCAAATACAATTCTCTCGCCAAGATCACGGCTACACCAGTGGAAGGAGACAACTGTGGCAGAGATGTACCTGTTTTTTGCCACAATAATGCTTATGCCACATGTGTATAAGCACACTGTCACCACATACTGGGCAACAGAACACCTGATTTCAACTCCAGGTTTTAGTGACATTACAGTGGACCCCCGCATACCGATTTTAATCCGTGCAAGAGGGCTCATTGGTATGCGAAATAATCGGTATGCGAATGAATTTTCCCCATAAGAAATAATGGAAATCAAATTAATCCGTGCAAGACACCCAAAAGTATGAAAAAAAATTTTTACCACATGAAATGTTAATTTTAATACACACAAACTGAAAAAGGCATGCACAATTACATGACACTTACTTTTATTGAAGATCTGGTGA